ATGCCCTGTGTTGAAAAGAAATCTCTCTTGCCATGGGTCATTGTCTATGTGGTTCTGTCAGGTACAGGGGTTTGGGTGAGGAAATGCATGGGCACCAAAGCTGAGGCATAAGACGAGTTTTCCCTTTGTCACAATTTTGCTGAGACTTCTGGAACAATAACAGCACAGCTACAGCTTAATCCAGAAAAGCCACTTATTCAATTGAAAAAAAAAATGCAGCAAAACATTCCAATAATAAAAGAGTGTTTCCTTCCCCATCTTCCAGTTGCCCTCTCTGAAGCAACCTTCCAGAAGTCATCTATGAATATACCAGCACACATCTGTCCCTTCTCGCCCTCCCTTTCTTCCTCCATTCTAAAGAGCAAATGAGAGAGCACACTATACTTTGTTCTGCACCTTGCTTCCTCCACAGAATACAGTTTCAGCACATGAAGTGCTACTTCAATCTTTCTCACTTTATACTACAGTACAGTATTCCAGCACACAGTACACTATAATTTCCTTAACCTGCTCTCAGGGACATGCAAGCATGTCGGTCCGTGGCATCTGTAGACATGCTGCAGCGAACGCCCTCATGTGTGGCTGTGCACTTGTGTGGTCAGGTCTCCACGACACATTTCAGAAGTGGAGTTCCTAGGTCAAAATGCCTGTGCATTTTAGGTTGACAGAGATTGTCAAATTTTGTTTGCTCCATTGAGATTGTTCCAAAATATTAATGGTATTTTGCTGCTTGGACACTGAAGCCAGGATTCCTACTACTCTTACAGAGCCCCATCGAGCCTTCTGTCATCACAAAGTTCCTCATGCCCAGTCTTGACACAGCACTTCTGCCCTCCTGCTTTCCCCACCCCACCCACCACCTCCAGCAGGAATAAACACCATCGAAAAGACTTAGTAGTCTTGGATATTTTAAATTTCCTTGTTTCAATGAATGTCCTATGAAAAATTTAACTATGCTTTAATTTGGATTAGACTAGAAAAAGGCAGTTTTTAGTTTCCTAAGAACATACTCTTAATATTACTTCCAGATATAGTCAGAGCTTTGGGATGGTTGTGCAGCTCATGTGTTTGAGCCACCTGGATCCCATCCATGGCCAAATTTTTGTAGTAAGATCTGCATTACAACTTGGGCCATAACCAGATCAAGTTCATTGCTCTGTTTCTACAAATGCCTCTAGAACAGCTGGTGGTCTCCTCACAACTCCTTGGTGGAGATTAAATTCATATTTAGTGACAGAAGGTAAAATCTTTTCTTTTCTGAATAGTATTTAGTTGATGTTTGATTTATCAAAAATGACCTATTCTAATGCTAACTGCTTGAAATTTTGTCCTTGAAGCATACTAACAGAGGCAATGCTGCCACCCTATTATAGGTGAATTCTTTCCTGCTAGGCTGGCTAAGAGGTGTGGGCAATTTTGAAGATGGGAGCAAGTTTCATTAAATAAACAAATAAACCAATAAGCTTGCTTAGCTTCACATCAAAATTAGAACAAGTAATCTTAACTTCTCTTTTGCTGTCATATTTGGTGTCCTTCAATAGATAGTGATTTTTTCCTAGGGTTAGGTAACACATTGAAACATTTTCACACTTCAGAGTATTTAAAATGTGCTTGCAAAACTGTGCTTATAGTCAGTTTCTTATGGGGATAACAATGACCATGACCAAATATGATACACAATAAACATTTCACCTCCAAAAGGAACATTTATGAAGAGGTGGGTATCATTAAAATATATATTGGTGTAGCACCACAAGCCTAGATAAGCTGCTGCTGGTCAGGAAAGTCAGTATAAAGTTGAACTGAAAATCTGTTCTGCTAAATCATCTTTACCAGGGTACTTTTTATCAGGAGTTCAGTGAAAAGGGGAGACTATAAAATATGTGCCTAACAATGCATGTCAGCAGCTTGAATGGAGCAAATGAGTCCAGATATGAGAATTCTAATAAATAAATGAAGTCGAGCATTTATTGCCAACAATGTCACTGGGGCCACAAAAAATTGGAGCTGTGCAGCTGGGAGCGGGCATGTGGAGCCAGAGAAGGCACTGGAGTGCGCCCAGGTTTGATTATTTATGGTGTGCTGATGAAGAGACAACTTTCCATACGAGGAACAGCTTACCAGAGAGCAGTCAAGCTAAACCAGGAAGAGGGCCAGAGAAAAAGAAACAAAAGGGGACATGAATAAAAACGACAGCTAATAAAACAATACAAATCTAAAACGCTGTAACTTTCAGGAATAATGTAGGGCCAGAAGAAAAGAAAAAGGAAATCTCATTTTGCTGGCTTTGTGACAATTTTCCAAGAAGCACAAGACATTAAACAAAATGAATGTACTGAATTTAAGACCAATTTGCCTCTATGCCTTTCTAACTGTAAGTCTGATTGCTCTTAAAGCTAGATTTATTCATAAAAAGGGAAGTGGCAATTTTGTTTGTATTTAGCTAATGTATCCATTTTTAAACAAATGTTTATTGAAACAAATACTATTTCATATCATGTGCCGGACCCTGTGGGGCTAGTGCTGAACAAAGACATAGTCCGTGTCCTCAAGAGGGATATGATCTACTGTGGGAAGCAGTAAAGATCACAGTCATGTTCAGGACATTGGGGTGGACACTGTAATGAGCTAGGTCAGGGCCACAGGACCGCAAAGAGCGGGGGCCGCAGGGAGGAACACCAGACCCAAGTGGAGCCGGGAATAGAAATAATTTAGTGAACTTTGCTTTCTATATTGATTAGACACTTACCAAACCTCCATACAATACAAATCTATTTGACTATTTAAGAATTAAAATACACTTTTTATACAAAGATGCAAGTATCTGTAGTTCTAGTGGTTCTAGTAGTTTTCATCCTTGAATTCTGGACTTGAGGGACACCTGAGCTGTTTTAAATGACTTTCTATGGTATAGCAGACCTCTTCTTTCAAGTCTGACCAAAAGCACAATAAATATTAGCCACTGGTTACTACATGGCCCACCTGTGGCAGTCATTTCATTTATGTTGAATTACGCTTCGCAACAATGCCTTGAGGTAGGCTCATCACACTCACGTCACAGACAAGGGACTGGAGCGTTAGGAAGGTGACTCTCAAGGTCACACGGCACTTCTACACCTCACTTCCTTCGGGTTCAGGATGCAGGTGAGGACTGCACCAACAACACGTCTACACCCAAGGAAGGCGTATCAATGAATACTCACTGGCTTCCCAAAGTTACTTTAGCTGAATTACTCCCTCTTGTCTTCTTACCCCCTACCAGCACTCTCAGTTAAGCAGTGCTACTGATAACTCCTTATCTTAGTTGGCACTGGGGCTGTTCCCATTGTAACACAGGGGAGTGCTTCTAGAAGCTGAGAACTATAACAAACATTTTATTCTGAATGAATCCATACACACAGGCATTGAGGCCCCTCTGCATTGCAAGTTTCCTTCTCTCTTACAAAGAGCTTTCTTACAAAGAGCCACCCCTCTCCCCTCCCCCATAGATCAGTGCCCAATTGAGAAGGGGATCCAGCCAGAGCACTTAACCATGAGCCAATCACATCTCCCGACTTCTGTTCTCTGTTGCATTCCTAACTCACTACTTCTTTCCAAAGGTGGTCTATGGCCTCACTGTCTGGCCTTGCTGTAAGATAAAAAATGGCCAGGCAGGCATCTCTATGACCTTGGCAACTTGGCAACTTCAGATTTTCCTTTAGCCCCCACACCTTCACCTACATATATTCTCCAGCCCTTGGGAAACTGGTATTTCGGAAATATTGCTTAGTATCTGAGGACTGAGTAGTCTATGAATTATTTTAGTTTCAATTCAAACAGTATTCTAGGTAGATCTCACTTTTTAGTGTCTTTAAGACCAAACAAACTAGGTAATGTACTAAATGGTAAAGCTGTTTCATGAATAACACAGTTCTAAAAATATCAAAAAGTGGAGGTCTAATATTATCTCTCTGAAACTGTGTAGAGTGTAATCGGTTGATAAACCGCAGTATTATTTTTTCAGAGATTTCCATTCCTACCCTCTTATCCTCAAATTTATAAAACTATTTGCAAAACATGAATGATTGAATTTCCCTTTTCATAGTATTTGGGCCAAAGTGTGTCTATGGACACTTGCTTTTAAAATTAGGCATTAAAAAAATGACTTAAGACCCACTAGCTTATCAATTAGAACTTAGTTCTTCCTCTGTTTCAAAATCTTCCTTTAGTAGGGAAAAATGTGATGCTGATGCCTGGGCCAAGCTTCAGGCAGAGGGCTGGCCGCATGCACAGTGCTTTCATCTAAAGGCTGGAATATTAGTAGGATGAGGGCTTAACTCCCCCATTTCAAGAAAATAATTTTGCAGCCAGGATGGCCAGAAACTTCAAATGGCAACTTTTCTGATTTGAGGTAATTTCCCAGGAATTTAAGAGGTAATCATTTACTCTTGACTTTTAAAGAGAACCCGGGCTTGAATGGCACAGTTGTGTCTAAAATTGATCATTTAGTGACAATCCTCTGAAGTTACTTAGGAGGGAGGGAAAGCAGCTGAGATACCTAGACATCTGGACTGAACTATCTAGTTCGCTTTCCAGGTTGTAAATTTTCTGGCCTAAAAAATGACTTTTTATGAAAACAGTGATTTAACCAAAGTACTAACATTTTTTTGATTACTTTGATATAAAACACTACAGCTATAAAACTTAGCAACATCTCATCTTCAAGGCAATGTGCCTTTAGGAAAATAGAATTTTAAAAAAGATGAGTCCTGAAAATATGAATTTTAAATTGTAAGATGAGAATCTTATTAAATGCATTGCTCTATAATATTTTCAAATAAACAAGAAAATTTGATAAATAGCAATATGGTTGAGATGGAAATAATTTTGTCATCTGGAAATTTTCACATTTGTGGACCTACTTAAATAGAAAACATTTGAACAAAAGGACACATAACACACACTCAAACACACGTTTTTACTGAAAACTATATTTGAAGAACAGCCTAAAATCCTTTAAATTTCAATCTCCAAATTTTGATCTTTTTATTTATTCTGAAATAAAGTCTAAGACATTAACATTTAGTGCACAGAATTTAAAAATAAAACTGCATATGGTTAGAATATATGCATCAAGGGTATATATTTCATAAGAAAATAAAATTATGTACAAAATCACTCCCACTTATTAATGCTAATCCTAACTTGTTTGATTTTTATAATTAAGCACCACCATAAAACAAGAACTTTGAGAGAAAGGTGATACAAAACTCTGTTTAACCTCTCTGGCCCCAGTCTTTCATGTTTCAGTTTTGCTGGGAAGTTCGGACACTCCCCGGTTAGAGAGTGCATGTAGAATCCTCCAGAGCATTGGAGGGTCCTCACAATTGTGCCCTTGTTCCCAGTGCAGGAGGAGTTCTTCTTTCCTTCTAAGCGTCTGTGCACAAAGGATGCAGTTAAAGCCGGAAGGGGACTGAAGGAGAACTGAGTGTGGGCTGGGACTCGCAGGGCCCTGGGGGACTTCTCCTGGCTTGCTGGGTCTCAGCTGGGCTCCTTCATGTTTTGTGAGCATTTCCTTGTCATTCTGCTGATGCAGGTAGGGTTGCCGTGTCATTGTAGGAACTGCATGCACCTCCTCGTCAGAGGGACAGTGCTGCGGCAGCTTTCTTCTTTCGGGATGCTGTTTCCAGGAAGGAGCAGCATGTTGAGCCAGTTCTTCTCCAGCTGCTTGGCTTCCTGGGGAGATCTCCTCTTGCAGCCTGCCCTGAATTTCCTCTCCATGAACATAAAGTAAATGAAACTTTATTTCAGCAAAGGACTGGGCAGTGATCTGACAGCGGCCACATTTGATTTGTAATTTGACTTCGTCTGCCTGGTTTAGGAGAAGGTCTTCGTCGAGGCTTGATTTGTTTTCTCTGAAAAAGAGGGAAAGAGTCAATATAAAATTGCATAGAAAAACAGAATTGGAACTTTTCCTCTTTTAAGTTCTTAGTCATCAAAGTTCTAAAACACTCCCACTGAAGAGAAGCGCAAAGGGTGGGAAGACAGAGAGAACATGGGAAGGCCTTCAGCAGAGGCTGCAGAACCCCAACTGCTGCTCCTGCTTGGGGCCACACACTCCTTCCCAAGGGGAGCTAACTAGTCCTTGGTGACCACAGGAACGGGTGTCACCAATGTGAGAGTCAGGCGGTAGCAAGTGAGGCTCTCCAGGAACATGCTGCGTCTGGTTGACAGTAACTGTCCCACACCACCCACCGCTGCCGTCTCTCACCTTGAACACCCAATACTGTTTGGACATTTTACCTAAAAATCAAAATGGACTACAGGAAAACAATACAAGGGGCAGAAAATCTAGTGTGGGAAAATGTTTACTTTCCAAGGGGCCAATGAGGATTCAGTTCTCTGTCATAGTGGACAGTGGACAAAATAAGAGCATTTCTCTGGTTTACTTATTGCTCTTAGAAAGCCCTGACTGCCAGGCTTATGAATGACTTAGCTTGTTTGTTTATAATGCTAAGGAGCAGTACCTGAAGATGGGAATGACACAGGAGAAAGTTAATCTGGCCTGAAGGGAAAAATAGGACAAAAGTAGAGGGTTAAAGATCTGGACACTTTAGGGTCTGGTCACACTGAGGTGCCACCACGGGTTATGTGATGTTAAGAGGCAACTGATGCTGTTCAGATGTAAATTCTGTGAACACCATTTTGGAGAAATTACTTGTAAAGAATACCAGGAACTATACACAATATTTAATATTTCATGTCAGATACAAAAATAATCTGTTATATCCTGGCCGGTGTGGCTCAGTTGGTGGGAGCATCACCCCATACATCAAAAGGTGGCCAGTTCAATTCCCAGTTGGGACATATACCCAGGTTGTGGGTTCGATCCCCAGTCAGGGTGATCCCCACTATGGGAGGCAACCAATTAATGTTTCTCACATCAATGTTTCTCTGTCTCTCGTTCTCTGAAATAAATTTTTTTAAAAAGGAAATGTTAAAAAATGTCTGTCACCTGATTGTCTCCATCATACCTCAAACAGGAATTTGTGGCCTGGCTTACCAGGGTTACCATCATTATAAATTATGAGTGATCAGAAACCAATAAGAAATGAGATTATTCTTCATAGAACTAGCCTCATAAAATCTTAATCTGAGAGATGTTTTTATGAACTTATCTTTCTGAATATGAAATCTTAGCCTGCTCCCCAAATCCAAACAGACTTTCTTGCCAGATTTTCATTCCATTAGCACTCACCTCTGCACATTTGCATCCCTGTCCCTGTTCTTTGGCAGGTCCCCTGGCTGCAGTTCACTGGGGGAGGGCTCGGTGCTGATGACAACCCTATGCACTTCTCTCAGATGGCCGAAATAGATTCTGACATGACCAAACACTTTTGCACAAAATTCACAGCACACAAGTTTCTTCAGCCGGCTCTCGCCGTGATGAAGTTTCATGTGTGCGCTCAGGCTGCCGGGACGCACGTATGCCTTGCGACAAATTCGACAACTGTAAGGCCTTCTGTTAGTGTGGGTATTCATGTGGTCTCGAAGGTGCTGCTTGAACTGGAAGTGGTGGTTACAGACAGGACATCTGTGCCAAGGCTTCTTAATGCCAGAGAATCCATTTCTGAATGCAGAGCTGGGTTTAGGGGAAGGGCTGTCGTCCTGCTTACAGCCGAGATATTTAGGAGTGAGCGAATTATTTAACAAACTGTCCTGTCCTAGGCTGCTGGGCTTTTGGGAAGGTAATATAGCCACAGGAGAACCCAAGGGAGCCACAGCGGGCATGACAATGACAGGTTTTGGCATAATGCTACGATATTTTTTCAAAGCCCCAGGTTTTTGGTCTCTGGATTGTTGGGAATCATTTTTTATTCTTTTACATTTCCTCCTTTTCCCCTGAAATGACAAGATTTCATCTGGTACCTTTAGTTTTCTACCTTTTCTCTTTGTTGCCCCGCCATTCAGTTTTGTTTTGTGGTTGAGATCCAGTTTGGTAGCTGGACAAAAGGCACTTTTACAGAGACTCTGCTTTGACACCTGTGGACCAGGTACCTTATTGGCCATTTTGGTGGCTGCATCAAAGCCTTCGGTGATGGTGGATGTCTTATCCCAGTGCACCCTGCGCCCAGGTAAAGAAAAGTCTACAATGTTAACATCTGACTCACTTTTATAAACCTCTGTTGTTTTCATACTTACGGGGGGTAAGATTGGCAGTTTACCTTTGGGGACTGAGGGGACCCACTGGAGTGAACCGCCCCAGATGGCTGTGGATAACCTGACTGTGCCTTCTGCAAGGTCAGCTTGTTCTTTATGTTTTTCACTGGCAACAGCAGCAGGTTTACTGGATGGTTCTTTGCTTGCAAAGATTTCTTTCCCTGAAATCTTCATGAAGCCCTGCCTGGCAGAGGGCTCCTCTGGTGCGGATGATGTTGGGGTGTCAGGAAGGTTCGGGTCTCCACAGTCACTGGTCACTGGAGGTCGAGAGTCTCCGGGGCCACCTCCGTTGGTCAGAGCAGCCGGGCTGATGCTGGCTGGGGCCTGGTCTGGTGGCAGCACTGGCTCGGACGGACTGGGCTGGGGCGGGGGCTCAGAACAGCCCGGCGGGGAAGGAGATGTTTGGGTTTGGGCAGGAGGTTTGCTACAGCCACGTTCAGAGAAGCTCGAAATGGGGCTCTTTGTTGATCCTTTGTTATTTCTTGGGGGTTGGTATCGAGGAATAGGCAGTTTAAGGTTTTCAGGCAGGGGCAGTCTGGGTTTCTGGACTGGCTGAATTGAGGCAACCTGAGGCAACGCCACGAGAGAAAATGTCCCCTTCTGGCCAGCAACCTGCATCAGAGCATAATTTTGGGCAGGCACCCCCAGTGGTGTAGAGCTGATGGGGGGGCCTGGATTCACCTGATCAGAGAGTGATGGCGAAGGGCCCGACAGCACTCTGGAAGTTAGGACTTTGGACACAATTTTCGGTGCAATGGTCCTAAACTGACTCTTGGTCTGCAAACCTTTTCCACTCTGTATTGTTCCAGAAGGCATGACTGATCACCTGCAACGACATTACAATGTAAAAAGTCAACTGTCCTGTTGTTGAGAGTGCAAGTAAGCATCTTATCAATTCCTCTGCCTTAAGGCTTTCCTAGACCACCCCTACTCTTCTGAGCAAGCCCCCGCATTCTTCAGCATCCAGCCTAAAGGTCAACTCCTGCCCACCTTCCCAACGATCAACTATTATTCTCCTCTCTGGGTCCACAGCCCCTATTACAACATTTGCCACTTTTCATAATAATCTATCTGTTTATGTGTCTCTATTACTAAACAGAGCTTCTTGAGAGCTAGGGCTCTGTCCTGCTCATCTTTACTCCACTGAGTCCATCCTGTCCATTAACCTAATTCTGATTCGTCTTTACAGGCCAGTGCAAACCCAGCTCCTGTCCTGATCTGAGCTGCAGTCCTGCTACTGGTCTTCCCTCTGGTCTGTTCTGCTGTGTATTTTACTTATTTTATATACATGTCTGGTTGTCCCTATAAAAGTTAAGCTTTGCGAGGGTAAAGCTGATATTTAATTCATCTTGATATTTTCCTCTGTATCTTCAGTATGAAACAAATGTTTCTTGTAGCACTCATTTTTTCACTCAATTTCAGGACACACCATTTGACCCCTTGGTAGTGTGATTGTGTTGCACAGCGAACGCATTCAGACTGAATGCCAGCTTTGTTGCTGTTTCCCCGTGTGACTCGTGAATTCTTTCTCACACCTTCCAAATTGTTTACGTGTGCTTTTGCAATTAAATCGCCAGTATTAAAAAAGTTGATGCGACACCTTAAAAAATGTTGAGGGAAAAGAAAACGATACAAAGTGATAGGTAAAGAGATAGGACAACATAAAAAACACACAAAATCACACAAAAGCACCTCCTAGGGCCCTGACAGAGTAGCACCCACACTCCCTGGCTTTATTATGATTAGAGACCAATTACAGCTACTCTAAGAAAACAATTCCGGAAACATTTTGATGCACTGCTTCTAAGTATTATATTACCTATTTTATTCCTGAAGCCTCGAGGTAGTAAGGCCTGGCTGCAGAGAAGTTTCCCATTTCTAAGTACCTCATTTTAGGCACATTTCACTCCAACTCACTGGGTACCTACATTATTCTAGTGATTGGCTATTAAAGGCCCATAATCCCTTTTCTAAAACCTTTGGAGCATAACATGTTTTGAAGTTTATACTTTCAAATTTAAAAAAATAGTAGAATGCATAAACATATTGTACCATAATAGGAATAAGAAATGTATACTGACCAACTTATTTTAGAAAGTAATCACTGTTTGGGGAAGACAGAGTATGTTAAAAACATATTTCAAATGGTAGCTTGCATTAGAATAAGAAGGAAAATCACGAGTGCTATGGTCTGGAAAACCGACACAGGATAATTATATAATCTGTTGTTTTCCTATTTAGCTTTGCTACCACAAAGTCATGGGTAAAGTGCTTGGTCAACCACCTGGCAACAGTCACCTAAATGGAGGTGCTACATTTGTTCCTTCTTCCTCTATAAGTTATTTATTTTGTAAATTTATTTTCATAGCCTTTAAAGTTAAATGTCTTTCATTTTAAGCTTATCTCATCTTTTTGGAAGAAGTACTGAAGTTGTAAATAAATATATTAAATTTGAATTGTGAGGCTTTGCAGAAAGCTTAAAATTATTGATAGCTTTTGGTTAAATAACTGCATTAACAATAATAATGGTCTACAGAACAGATCCGGGGTGAGGAAGGAAGAGAAAACATTGGGTCACTTATATCTAGTTTATACTCTTTTTTTAAAAAAAATCCTCACCCCAGGAAATGTTTCTTCATTGATTCAAGAAAGGGAGAGAGAGAAATATCAGTCCGTTGCCTCACCCACGCACCACGACCAGATATCGAACCTACAATCTGGTAATGTGCCCTGACCAGGAATCACACCCGCAACCCTTCAGTGCACAGGACGATAGTCTAACCACCACGCACACACCGGCCGGGGCTCTAGTTCATACTCTTAATTGATTGAGCACAAAATATTTACAGCAAGAAGAGCTGGAAGAAAGGCTACTTTGTCCTCAGTCATAAATCCTCTTGAAATAATATGTGACAATAATACATGAAAGCATAAGCGATATCACCTCACTTGACTGCTCAAGTTACCTGCCATTTAAAGAAGTGGATACTGGGGTAGACAAGTTTATCAGCTGGCTTCATGATCAATGACCATAAGCCAATCACAAGAAATCTGTGGGGTAAAAAGATAAGGGCCTATTGGGTAAATTTAACTTACTCAAGTTTACCTGGAACTGTAGGAAGCACATACAAGGGTGAGGGTCTCCATGAGTGTGCTGAGTCTCATCTCCCAGAATCATTAGGATGAAGTGATAGGGAGTGAAACTGATGCATTAGAAGACATGCAAGGCAAGAGAAGGAGGACAAAGCCACAAAAACAGAAGAAAAACAAATGGAAAACCCCTTAGGAGTTAGTTAAATGTCTAGCAAAGGGTACTAACAGAATGATCATCCAACCATACAGTGTAATACCATGCAGCAGGAAAAAGAAAATGAGTTAGACTGATATGGACTATACTCTAAGATGTGAGATTTATAGTATGCTATAGCTTGAATTTAAAAATATAGTGAGATACACACAAATATATTCCTGTATATGCACAGGATATTTCTGAAAAGAAACAAAATAAACTAATATTATGGTGGCCTTTGAGGTTGGGGCTGTGGGGAGCTAAGAGGTCAGGATGAGGCAGGTGCTTATTTTCCTTGAATGCTCTCTATGCCTGGCATACAGAAGGTGCTTAAATATTTGTTGAATGAATGAAAGGAAAATGAAAGTTTCCCTATTTGAATCTGTTTTTCAAAAGGGTATCTTTTAGGACAGTACTTTTCAACTAGTGTGCCACAAGAATTTTTCAAACATGCAACAATACCTGCCTATTTAGTCTGGGGCATTGACCTCTTTTCCCCTAGATTGTCAAATAAAAAAAAAATGACAACAGACAACACAAAATAGCCATCCAGTGTGAATGAATAAAAATTATACCTATTTTTTATCAGATTGGCAAAAAAATATATTTTTTGGTGTGCCGCAGAATTTTAGTATTTCGTTTGTGTGTGCCATGGGATGAAAAAGGTTGAAAATCACTGTTGTAGGATATTAATATGGTTAAGTGTGTGTATGAATAAATGACTGTCTAGATTACAGACAAGAGTAGCTCATGTTTTTTTTTTCCTTGTCTGCTTAATCATAAGAATTGCTAGTGATAAGAAAACTGATCTAACATCTGACAGTGCATAATTACCCCCAAAAGGTAAGCACTACCAAGGACAATTAGAGCTGTTCCTCCAAACATTTGGTTCTTTAGGATAAAACAAAGCAATTTTCAATAAAAGTCAGTTACACTACAATACTACAGACTGTTTTTTTTATTTTTAAAGTAGTTTGAACAGGAGTTTTTAGAGAAGTTGAAAGTAGCTGTAAGTTTTTAAAACTCTAAAATTCTAAGATTCCATGACTGTAGGCAGTCTTTCTTTGCAATGTAGCTACAAGAGTGGTTTACTCCATTACCCACTTTCAAGACCTTTCACAGATGGTGACCAAAATACCCTCACCTGTTACCTACTAATTACAGATCTCATCGAGCTGTGCTCTAAATAACGAGAGGTAGAAATTCCCACTGACATTCATAATTTCTGGAAATCCTGCAAAATTACCCATAACACAGTTTAAGAGACTCACAGGACTCTCAGGCTCTAAACATGGACTTTTATTAACTGAAAACATAAAAGGCTCACTCAGTAAAATTAATTTTGCACAATTTTACAACATGAATCCTTAATATTAGGATTCTAAATGTGGGCTGTTTTATAATATGTTAAGCATATTAAAAATAACTATTTTGAAAAGTGACATTTACAGAAACTGACCTAACTGTGGATTTAAAAGTCAACTAATAGATATTGAGTCCTTATTATGGTCTAGAACAGCCGTGGGCAAACTATGGCCCGAGGGCCGGATCCGGCCCGTTTGAAAAGAATAAAACTAAAAAAAAAAAAGACCGTACCCTTTTATGTAATGATGTTTACTTTGAATTTATATTAGTTCACACAAACACTCCATCCATGCTTTTGTTCCGGCCCTCCGGTCCAGTTTAAGAACCCATTGTGGCCCTCGAGTCAAAAAGTTTGCCCACCCCTGCTCTAGAATCTGTGCTAGGTCTTTTAATTGATCCCTCAAGTAAACCTTGCAAATAAATTTTATTGTTCCCCTTTTATAGATTAAGAAAAATAAGTCTTGAGGAAGTTAAATAATGTGCCAAAGTTCACACAATCAGATCTGTCCCATTCCAATTTGAAGCAATAACCTTCCTCCCCTTCATTCTCCTTTTAAAAGGAGAAAAATTACATAGAAGTTGCCTTAATTAACTCCAAAATATAACATTATCTCTGAACATTTAGGAAAAAAATTTTTTTGGTATAAAAATGGACTGTCAGATCCCAAAACTTCAATCACTTTTAAATGATTCTTTCTCAAAGCCCACTCATTAGAGAGAACTTATGAAACGTTAATCATTTCTTAAGGTAAAAGCAGATTTTTAAAGTTGAATTTGCCACTTATTGTACATAGGAGTCTGACAAATCCAGTATGGTTGTCAGATATTTGTTTGGGAAAATACACTGTGTGTTCTCCTCCTTTCCCTCCATTGCTTCCAAAGAATTTGACCTAATGGAGATGGGCTGCATGTTAGAGGCAGCAGAGGGAAGAGTGAGGGCTCAGCAGTACTAAGCGCCAACATCTGAACCAGCTTAATCCAACTGCCACAATGCAGCTGGCACAGATAATATTAACAGACCAGTTCCTGGGGCAGGCAACTCTCTAGAACAGTGGTTCTCAACTTTCTGGCCCTTTAAATACAGTTCCTCATGTTGTGACCCAACCATAAAATTATTTTCATTGCTACTTCATAACTGTAATGTTGCTACTGTTATGAATCGTAATGTAAAT